ATATATATATATATATATATATATATATATATATACCCTTTCTCAGGGATTTGTTTGCTTCTTTTTAATTTGAACACCCTAGGAAAAATTCTTGATTTCGCCACTAAACGTAGCTAGAATGTATTATTAAATTAATACATGTATTTTTTTCGTTCACTTTTACTTGTGTCTTATCATTTACTATACTCATTACTAAATTATTTGCTAAAACTTCTTAAAATACTATTATTATTACGGGTATTATGGTAAAATCTGTACTTCTTTATTATTTTTTCAAATAAGTATTTATTGTGGACAAGTAAAAATGAACAGCGGGAGTACTAAACTATGTATAATATATTAGTCCCTTTATCTCAATTTATTTGGCGGAATTTCGAAAGTCAAATAATTTTTTTTTACCGTGATTTGTTATAGGCTTTTTAAAATTTTTAAATCCTTAATTATTGTAACCAGTAGTTCTTTTGAACTATTTTTCAAATATTTAAATTTTATTGAAAACAATATAAACATTGTATATTTGAATTTATGGTCAAAATTAAAAAGTAAAGAAGAATACCTTCCTCCCGCGTGTATGCAGAAATGCTCAAACGCTAGTTTAAAGTCCGGAACGTATGGTTTCGAATTTTTCTTGAAAATTTTTCGACGAATGAATGTCAGAAGGAAGAGAAGTTGCTCTGAAGCAGGCAGAACAAGGGGTCCAATTGTAGTAATATTAGACTTCAATGCTTCTCCTGCAACTTGCATTAAATCTATACACAAATTTATACCAACTTTTCCTTCTGGATCTTCTTGTTGTTGTACACATCTAAATGATTTATCATCTGCTCCTTTATGTGTTCTTACAACATGTACTAAACGGTATTTTGCCCTCCTTTGATCTGATTTTCTGTTAGATAAAAAAATGGCAGCTCCTCCCATTCTGAACAAGCAATTAGGTAGCAACATTGATCTCTCCTTACCTAAATTAACAAAAGGTGAAACAACTTTTATGTATCATGAAAAAACTTACAATAATCAATATTTTCATTGTTCCTCCTACTACACGACGCTTAGTTAACCCTAATATTAAACCCTACTTGTACAACTGTTACTGAGTAGTTTTTGAATATTAAATGAACCTCTTCCCAAAGCCTTCTCCGTTCATTTCTAGCTGTCCACTTTTGACTTTGCACTTCCTTAAAGAAAAATAAATGAAGTATGTATTTTATAATTTTACCTATAATAATGATAATTTCAAAAAGACTTAGGGAAATAATTTGGGGAATGAGTAGTTAATGAAAAAGATAAAATACGAAAAAAAGATTGTCTTTCTCTTGATTTAGTATAATGGACAAGTACAACAACAACAACCCAGTAAAATCCCACAAGTGGGGTCTGGGGAGGGTAGTATGTACGCAGACCTTACCTCTATCCCGAAGGAGTAGAGAGCCTGTTTCCGGAAGATTATAATGGATAAGTAAAAATAAAAATATATTTTTAATACAGTGAACAAGCAAAAGTGAACGAAGGAAGTATATCACAGTCAGAGGAACTGTAACATATAATGACATCCCATATACAGTCAGACCTCTCTATAACATTATCTATATATAACAACAATTCATTGTAAAAGACAAGTTTTTTTTGGAACAGAGTTTTATACTATATTATAATGTATGTCCTTTATAACAACACTTTACTATAGCAGCCAAAAAATATCGGAAAAAACGAGGTTGTTATAGAGAGGTTTGCCTGTAATGCGATTTATCAATAAGAGGTATATAACCTTTCCATCAATAATTCTTTCATGTCCATTTATTAAAATTTAATATGTTCAAAAACATATGATTTTTGTAATAAATAAATTTTAATACTTAAAAGAAATCTCTTTACCTAGATAGCTATTCGGGGTGATAATCTCAGTGCTAATGACCACAGCGTTTGAATTAGGGTAATGTTGAAGAAGATCACGAGCTAAATCAATGGATATGAGTCCTGCACTGCATCCCATTCCAGATAAATTAAAACTCTTTATATTACTCCTGAGCTTATACTTATTAATCAACATAGCTGAAAGGGAAGGAGTTGGCGAAAAAAGGCTACAATTTACAATAAGAATATCAATAAATTTAGGGTTTAATCTTGTTTTTTCCAAAAGTGAATCCATGATAGAAAAAATAACAAGCTCAGCTTCCTCTCTAGCCAAAACCATAGTTGGTGTTGGTGGAATATAATGGATGGCTGGTGGTAGAGCGGTTTCTTCACCGAGCCCAGAGCGTTCAAGCATTTTCATTTGGAAACGAACGCTCTTAGGCTCGGTGGGTAAAATGAGTTGTGCATGTTCCACAAAAGAAGCAGAGGGGGCTCGAAACATATTAGGAGGGCGAAAACATGCATAATCCACTAAGTATATAGTTCTTGGACGCGACATGAAGTAATATGTTGATACATAAATGATGACGAATAATGAACAAATGGAGGGAAGAGATGTGAAGGAAATAGAGTTATAAAAACTGAGGACTTCATTTGGACTTAGTTGAAGAATTAGAATAAGAATAGTAAGCATAAAGGGTAATAACAAGAAAGTTAAAATGTTGTTCACTATGTATTGGTACCCTAATTTGGCATATTTTTGTTTCATTGATTGAGAATATTTTGGTGATGATATTTTAGGCATTTTGGGAAAGGAAATGGAGGATAAGTTTTGAGTACAAAATAATAGTGAAGAAATAGAATGGAGATTTAAAGAGGGGGGGAAATGAATTATAGCAATATAGGTAGTTGCTATGATTTAATGTGATTAAATGTAGCTGTTACACTTGGCAAGTGTCCTCAACCTAAATAATAAGGTGTGTACCAACCTAGCTCTCTATCACTAGTACTAGGGGTAGGAGTGGACATAATTTGGGCAAATCAATTTTTTTTTTTTTGGATTTTCGGATAACAGATTGTATTTTTAAATTTTTTGGATTTTAGATTGGATATTGAATTTGGTACTTCAGATTTTTAAATATTCGAAAATTCGAAATTTTTATACTTTATATCTAGTCCATTATCCATATGTCAATAGTAATAAGTCAAATACCCACCTATTAGACATTATCTCATATATTTAATACTAATTACTAAGTTACTGTCAGAATATTTTTTATTTGGACATAGTTTTATTATTTGCTACTTCTTATCGGTCTTATTAATGTCTTTGTTGTATTTTATTGACAACGATTTCATTGCCTGAATACTTTATTTGAATGACTGCAGTGAGAATGAGAAACTATGTAGGTAGTTTAATATGAAGATTTTACTTGGATATTCATTTTTGCAAAAAATGAAAAATCTAAACTTATAGGCTTAAAATTGAAAATCCGAAATATTCAAACCGATTAATCCAAAATCGAACTTAAAAACTCCGATCAAATCCGATCTTATTTGGATCGGATTTGAATTGTCATTTATTTAATCTGAAAATCGAATATTCAAACTGAAATTTTCATATTCAATTCGAACTGCCCGAACGCTCACGCCTAACTAGGTGAGGTTATGATGATCATGCTCTATGAGTTCGGGCGAACTCAATAATTTTTATTTTTAGTAAATTAAATATATACAAAATACTAAAATTATTCTTATGATCACTAATTTGGCATTTGGTTTAAGTTTTGAAATAAATTACTCTTTGAAAAATGTTTAAGTTTTACTTTTACAAAAAGAAAAACCACATTTTCAATTATGGTATGAAAGAAACTAAAAAAAATTCTTTCTTGTCGTTTGATTTTTTGCAAAAATGCTCTTAAAAAGAATCAAAAACTCTTTCGCAAAGTGTCTACCAAACGACATTTAATTATTGGTCGTAAGAGTTTTACACTAGGCGACAGCTCATCTTTTTTCTCTTAATAAAAAATAACTACTCTCTTCGTTCACTTTTATTTGTGACGTTCCATTTTTCGAGAGACAATTTAACTCATTTTAAAGCAAAATTGCATTAGATTATTTTAATATTTTAAAAATTAAAATATTGATATTCGAAAACAATATGATAAATACTATAATTTGTAATCTTTTCATATTAATATTGTGAATATATATATATATAAAAATATCAATTAAAGTTTATGTAATTTAACTCTGAAAAAATATGACAAGTAAAAATGAACGGATAAAGTATTACGGCACATTGACTAATGCAAATGGCCACTACAGGGTGACAGCAGCTTGGTCCTACTTTCCCATTAAGTCAGACACTGTAGTTAACCCAATGAAGAAGTTGTGAGCTCATCCGAACCAGTAATTTCGATTTAGACTCTATATACGTGTTAAAAGTTTAATTAAATAAGTGTAAAAATAAAAATTGAACTCATTATATTAAATACAATATAATAGAATTAAGAATTTAAGCCCATAAAATTTAAATTCTGAATCCGCTCCATACAGTTATAACTATAAATATAGCTGAAGTTATATTGTCGGTATTAATATTCTGAACGCTCCTTTGATAAAAGGACAATAATACAAAGGGCCCCTAATTCAAAATGGACGTGAAACTGCTACATCTCGAGCTTAATTAATTGAATAGATAAGAAAGAGAGCAGAACAACTATATTAAAACAAATCAGCATGAAATGAGCCGGAGCATGGATACTTTTTGTATAGATCCAAATTTGGCAATTGCGGCAATGGATAAGCAAGATATAGGACGGGGTCACCACAACACAACGATTGACGGTCGTTGTGATAAGGGACGACGACCAAAAGCGGGCAGCTGAAATAAGATAGTAACGGTAGTTTAAACTTAGAAAGAGACAGAAAGAATATGCCTTTTGGATATTCTTTATGTTGTACTTTTTAGGGTTTTTTAGAAAATGTCCCTCACAAATAGGAGGAGATAGTAAACAAGAAAAGGATCCGCCATTTTCAAAGAACAAATAATATATTGTAAAAAGAAACACAGAGGAATTGTCTTATTTGCTTCACTCAAGCATATGTTGTTTAATTTTCATCCATAAATCTTTAGATTCCACACTCATATGGGTTGCAGGCCATTTCACATCGATAGAAGGAAGGGACACCCAACCATATAATCATTGGGAAGCAACTCCGTTTCACGACAACCATTATCTTCCTTCCATTTATTGTATATTCATGATATTACATACATTGTTAGTCATAGTGCATTAAGTTTACTGATTAATGCTGCTGAGCTCTTCTCGTTAGATTGGATTTTCATTCTATTTGATCTAGGATTTATTAAGCTCAACTAAGATTCACCATCAATTTGTTATCGATTAGTTTAGTAATTATTTGCTCAAACAATTTGGCAGCGTCTGTGGGGAGTTTTCTAGTTGAAACTATAGTTCTTTCTGGATCATAAAAAAATACGTTTCTTCCTCGTTTGCACCACTAACAATGGCAGGAAAATGAGATGTGAGGTTGAAAACGATAGTAGGTGTCACTACCAATATCTTGAACACAATCAACGAAGATGGCAGGGAAAACGATGAAAACGCGACACCGAATGCTATACCTAGGCGGAGTGCTTCGCCTCCCCCNGCAATAAAAAGACTACTGGAAGAGTGACTAACAAGCACTCTGAACAACATACTCGATAAACTTGTCCAAAGGGAGAACAAAGATACTACACACGTAGATATCATACAACCACTTGCAAACAGGATGCCCCCCAAACAGGTAACACTCACGCCACTGTTGACACAGGTAATGACGCATTCACAGCCATTCTGAAGAAAATGGAAGAAATGGAAAATGAAAACAAGGAGCAGCCCCAAATGAAAGAGCTTCAAGAAAGGGTCGACAAGATACCGGGCGCCCCAAAGTTATTATCGAAATGAGACGCTGGTCGATTCGTCGAACTGCCATACAGCGAAGGAGCAGCCCCCACATGCCATTCTAAAACCTTCAAAATGCTACCATATCTGAAGATATACGATGATACTACGAACCCAGAAGATCATATCGTTCACTATGCCACAGCGGTGAAGGGCAATGACTTTTCGAATGAGAAAGTACCGTCAATATTACTGAAAAAATTTGGCGAAACCCTAACAGGGGGAACCCTAACCTGGTACTCACAACTGCCGACGCGGTTAATAGCGACGTTCTAAAAAATGTCGGACAAGTTTGTCACCGCTCATGCAAGGTCTAAAAAGGCGGAAGCCAGGGTAAATGATATATTCACTGTTTGGCAATCGCTTAGCGAGGGATTCAGAGACTTCCTCGCTGGGTTTAACAGGGTGAGAATGAGCATACCAAAGGTATCAGAGGGGATGGCGGTAGCGGTCTTCCAGAATGGGTTGAGCAGGAACGGGTCGAGAGCAACCAGAAAACTACTGAGCAAACTCATGAAATATCCTCCTACCACATGGGAAGAAATCCACAATGCATATTGCACCGAGGTAAGAGCGATGAGGATGACCTCAACGGCCCGTTCCAATGGCTAATGTCAGTTCAAGCAAAATCAAGGAAAGATCATCGTAACGACGGTCGAAGGGATCAATTGGATCCCCGTCTCGGCCGAGAAAGACATTAGCCCTATATCAGAACAGTCATCCCACCACCGCCTCGGTACATGGATGGTCTGACCCGTCACATAGGGACTCAGCAAAATGAAAGAGGTATGCCTCCACTCTTGTCTGCTTATAATTTTTGTGTTTTCCCTACAGAAATAGTGTACGCACTAGAGAAGCTCGGCACAAAGGTACAATGGCCGCAAAAGATGAAATCCGATCCAAATACTCTGGTCGAACGCTCTCTTTGAATTTCACCAGGAGCGGGGTCACAAGACCGAAGACTGCATAGGTCTGCGGCAGGAGGTAGTGAGAATGCTGAACCAGGGACAATTGAGAGAACTAATGAGCGACCGAGGGCGAGCCATTTTTGCCCGCGGATGCGAACAACCCCAGGGACCTCCAAAGCCCCCCTCTTTTACTCGCACTATCCAAATGATCATTGGTGGAGGCGACGGGCAGCAATCAACCATGTGAAATTCACCACTATACACAAACTCAAGCGGTTGATCACTCACGAACGGTATGATGACCTCGAAGATAGTATCGTCTTCGATAAGTCAGATACCGATGGTTTTTCTTTCCCTCATTACGGTGCTCTTGTTATTACTTTATGTATTTTAGATACTGATGTGAAAATAATAATGGTGGACGACGGAAGTGGTGCGTGTATTATCCATCCTCAAGTCCTCGTACAAATGAGGCTAGAAGATAAGATAATACCACGTTGCATAACACTAACGAGTTTTAATAATGCAGTCGAGCGAACTTCTGGAGAAATAATGCTACACGTTCTAGCCGGAGGAGTCACCTTAGAAACAATGTTTCATATCATGGACCAACATACGACCTACAACGCCATCATAGGGTGGCCGTGGATACACGCCATGAGGGCCATCCCGTCAAGCCTCTATCAATTAATCAAGTTCCCTACCCCATGGGGAATATTCAACATTCGAGGTGAACAACGCATTGCGCAAGAATGCTACCGCATCGCCCAGGATTGCACACACACCCAGCAACTAAAGGGAGCGAATGTAGAAGCATATTAATTAGCAATGTCGGGAACCAGATCCGACGCACAGACAGATGTTATCAAGGATCCCTACATCGTGGAAGCCATTGAGTTGACAATAGAAGATCTCAATCCCGTCCA